AATCGCTGTTGCGGTAAAAGCTCGTAAAACACCCTGTCACTTTGAACTCAAGATTGCTAAGGTCCGTATTCAAAAATTTCCCATGCTTTTTCTAATGTCATCTCATTATTAAAAGCATGCTTCCTGGTTAGAGCCGCCAGAATTCAGTTAATACACACAACTTTCAATAGGGAGGCCATAGCTAATGGCTCTCAGGTCGGAAGGCCCACGGTGATGTGGCTACGCTGTTACACGTCCGCTTCTCGCTTTCCAAGGTGAATAGCTAACGGTTAAAAAAATTAAACATCAGGTCGTCACACTCATTGCTTCATTTTTTGGGGAGGGGGCAGAAACTGCGTCACTTGAAGGGCGCATTCACGAGCGTGCTATCGCGAGGCCTAATGAAACATGCTCGTAAAATTTCTGTGCTACTATAACCTCAGCTTCACTGTAGTGCAAAAACCGCTTCGGCAATCGGGGTGATCATTGTTCCTTTAGCCAGTGTTCATCGTAGTTATGCGACGTCGTATACAAAATATTGAAAAACTCCCTCAGATCTCGAATCAGTACTTCGCCATTTCGATGAAACAGCACCAACACTCCTGCATACTGACGCTAGCGGTCACGGAATCGGAGGTATTCTACTGCAGCGCGATGAATCAATATACTTCAATATACTATTTGTTAGTTTGACTTAGGCTCTTAGCAATGAATGCTATACCAACAGTCTGCTTGCATTGAGAATACAGGATAGAAAAGTATAATAGCCGTCTTTAATGCCTTCCTATTGCCAGCGATCACACCCAAAGTTCATAACAATGCCTCCCCTCCTCCTGGTTTCCTAGTTCTTACCTACTTTTTTAAGATGGGTGGCGCGTTCCTCTCTGCTTTAGTAATAATCGATGGCAAGCCTGGCACATGGGGGGATGCTATCGCACTGTACTCCATGGTAAGTCGACTCTTTTATTGGGATAGCAATTATATGGACAATCTCTGCTGTATTTTTTGTCGTCGCCGTCATTCGCCATATATGTATACGTATCTATATATATGAAACTTAAGAAAGAAAAAAACTATGGACCATCTCCCCGAAAAGATGCGAAGTAGCAGCGGTGCGCACGGTGTTGACCTGGTTGAAACAGGCGTCGACCCAGGTGCTGGAAGAACGGTTTGGAAGGAAACTCGGTGTAGCGTTCGTTCAAGTAAACGTTTGTTTGAAACTCAAAGACATGGGAGGTTGGACACGTTGAACACGCTCGTGCACCTCTTCCTTGGCTCGCATCTTATCAGTCTTACCCTCTGTCTGTATTCTCGAATGCGATTGGTGTTCTTGACTCGCACCTTGTCGCTGTTTTTCTGCTGACGCTTGCGTTCGGCTTCCCTGGATTGCACCTCGTCGGTGCTGACATTGCCATTCGCGAACGCGATCGGCTTTGACAACCCTTGCAACGCCGGCGACAGCCTGGAAATGTTTGCGCACACTAGTGGGAAGCATGCCGCGACGACGTCTCGCCTGTCGGCGCAATCCCGCGACTAGCAGCAGTGCGCTGTCGGTGCTGCTTGCCGCCAGAAGTTGTCGGCCCTGCGAGATTCTTGAGGCGTGCGCAGCGCATGCACCCGCCGGCTCGTGGCTTCTCGCCGACGCCGACAGATAGAGAGAGGTGGCGCGAGTGAGATGATGCGCACGTGAGAATTGGGTTCGAGCGTTAGCGAGCGGTTGAGAGGGTGAAGGGAAGAGAGAGCTGACAGCCGGCGAGCGCACGGCAGGCGAGGAAGAGAGACGTCACCACGCACTGCTAGAAGGGTGTGAGCTACTTGGCACCGCTCTAACACCTAGGGCGAGAGGAGCGGTGTGCTGACAGAGGGACAGCATTACACTCGCTAGTGTAAAAGCTGCTTCGCATCTAAAAGCCGCCACGATGCCGGTTTCGTGCGTCATTTGTGAGCGAGAAACGCTGGGCGTGTTTCGATCTGCTTGCCATTCTTCGCGTGACCTTCCGATTTGTTGCTATCGCATTCATTGCTTCGCCTTTGCGGCAAAGCTGTGACATTTTTCTCGAAGTATTGCCTGTATCACTTTATTTCTGTTTCGCTCTTGTTGTCTGTCTCTTTTGTGTTTCAATAATTTGTTTATTACTATTTCTTTGATGTTGTGCCTTCACTTTATTTCTCATTCTTCACATGCTAGTCCTTCTCCTATCACCACACTTCCTATTCCTGGTCCATGCCACACTGCAATTTTATATGGTACCCTTCTAGCCTGCCTGAATAGCTCAGCGGTTAACATCCTCTCCTTCAGATCGGGGTGGCTACGTTCGCATTCTGCCATTAATCTTGTTTCTTTCTGTGTATTTTCCTCTTCACTACTTCTTTCCTGCTTCGGAGTTACTGTATCCTATGCAGGACATATTTCGATACGTATTCTGCGAGCTAGGCAGACGATGAAGAAGACGAAGAGAGCGGGTGCTGGTTTATAGTGATGATGATAATTTTGGTTTGCTCGTGATCCGGCATAAACAGCTCCGCTTTTCAAAGAGAGGTATATTGGCAAAAGTTCTCTGTAATCATTCCAAGATTTATTACTACCTTTGGGATCATCTTTATAATTCATATGAGGGCTGCTAATAACTAACAGTGGCATTAGTACGAACACTAAATGTTAGGAGGTTAAATACCTGCTTAAAATTTTTATCAGCTAACTCTGGTTTGAGCTGCGGAAAAGGTACAAAAGGAAAGACAGACAAGAATGTCGCTATGTTAGTTATCAACCAACTAGCCCCGGTGTGAATACCCTTCTGTTGTTGTTTTTCAGAAGTAAGGCGGTAAATTTAGATTTGAGTATTCGTTGAATCTTTACCGAGAAATCACACCAATCACTGTCATAGTCATTTTTACCCGTAAATGGCGAGTTGGTGTAATAATATTCATGTCTTGTTTCTATAATGGCATGGAATAGCTTTGGTCCGGACGTTTTGTGTGGTGGCGATAGCTTGGTTTCTTTTGAACGAAATCTACTGTTCTAGTTATTTTTTCATGAGTTAATATAGTCAGGGGTGTGCGAATAGTGAATTTTAGAACCGAATCAAATACCAAAATTAATCGAATGATATTCAAATAGTTTTCCAATCGTAAAGCTATAATTTTGAAAACAGCCCTACATTTCCAGATGACCCTATTTGAAACAAATATTCACCAACTTTAACACAGGAATATTCCGATTGGTTTTCGCCGACGAAAATGCCGCATGTATGTAAAACGAGGTAAGTTTTAATACAGCAGCGACCAGAACCTTCAAGACATCCGGTAACTGCATAAATTACTTCACTATTCAAGCTCATAACTCGTCATCACCTCTTCAACAAAACTGAGGCACAGAAATATTTTATTTCTTGTCTAATCCTCCATAACGAGATTAATTTTGATGATTGATCAACTTAGGAGACACAGAAATTTTAAGCTTGACTGTCATGCATCTTGGTAAATCAATAAATAAAGCAACAAAAATGATGCCTCCCTGCTTTGACATTTAGTTCTTGTGGGTTCTTCCTGTAGGTGCCGATTATTGGAAAAACTTTTGAAAGATGTATGTGCTACACGTCTCATTACCGAATCGAATGGAATGCTATTGAATTCGCTATGTAAAATTTTCATGTTAGTATTTCAAGTTTGTTTATTTGTCCTCTTGTATATCACAGTCTCGTATTTCGCTATATGGTATGTGCGAATTCCACCCTCTAACAGCCCATGCAGGCTTGCATTATTCCAAATAAATAAAATGTAAATAAGTGTAACCAAATGTTGACTACCTGTGCATAATTCTGTTCACCTCAGTTTGCGGTTTACTGCCGCATTTTTACTGTGCATATGCACAGTAATATAATATAGAAAGATGTGCGCTACTCGGGCAGAGCACTGATGTGGGCTAGTTAGGTTTGGTTCACTTGCATTCATATTCGTAGCACAAAAAAGACCCAGCCAAAGACACAAAAGGAACACATGTACAGGGTGGGCGCTAGATACAGGACGGGTGCTAGCGCTGAACCTGTATGTGTGTTCCTTCCGATGTCTTCGTCTGGTACTGTTTTGCGATACTGAATATAAATGCAAGTACTACTTGGGGTTTCGAGAAATATGCCATTGTCAACTTCCTACTGAGCGATATTGAAATGATATTGATTAATGAAGTTTGTTCTTGCTGGTTACATCCTTTTTCTTGTTAATGATCTGCTTGTCGTTGTCAGCCTAGTATATATGAGACGTGTTTGAAAAGAATTTGAACTTGCACTGTAACATCTCTGCTGTACTTTAGAGCTAGCTGATTGTACGAAATTCCAAGCACTGATTTCGTCTTGATAGTCTTTACCATTGTATCTTCAATTTAAAAAAAAGACTCACTGGAATACACTTTTCTGGATGGTGCGGGTGTCCTTGCCCTGAATCTCCTCCGTGCTTTCAAAATGGCCTTCTTTCAAGTTTATTTGGGAACAGGAAATGTAGTCCTTTATGTAGAATGGAGTGGATGGTGCACAACGAGAGTTAACAGTTGTAAAGAAGGAGTGACGTGTGAGCCGTCTCGTCACGATTCAAGGCTGGTTTTCTCTCTATTCAGGTTCCTTACTGCACACAGCATCATATCTGTAAGGCTGTAGAGTTTTACTTTTCGAATTAAGAAAGCTCGACTCCTAATAGTGGTTCCAACTAGTATCTCGCAAAGTGCTGCACATTTTAAAGCCATAAGTGTTTATGGCTTGAATGTTCTTCCTACTTTCAGTGCCACTGTCACCGTTCCTTCATTTGAAGCATGTGAATTTGTGGTTGGCTAATTTAGCCGAGCAATCTATGCATAACGTTTGATGTGTGCGTTGTAGCCTAATTTTCAAGAGTGAATGTCGATAGCAGAGAAGAGGTTTAAGCATTTCGTAGACAAGTGCAAAGCAGAGAATACTTACCAGGATTCGCTGCGAGTCCCGTTATTGAAATGTTGCTGCCCTCATGACGAGTGTGTTTCATCTCTTTTACAGAGTAGCCTAAGCTCCGGTGTGCCTCCCACACAACCACCAGTGTTGGCGTTCACCTCTACCAGCGGTACCACCCAGCCGTCTGGCCCGCCTACTTTCTCCCAGCGCTTCTGAATGATCTCTCGGCGGACGGAATTAAATGCCTACAAAACGACTGCCTCATTGCCATGATCTGTTTGAGTACAAGCAGTGTTGTAAGCATTGCCTCATCAAGGAGCTTTTGAAATACATAGTCCGAATACTTCAGCCTCCGTCTATCTACCAAAATCCCACAGCTGTCCTGCTTTCTCCACTTGAAAATAAATGAAATGGCTATGGAGAAAGTAGTCAGGCATAGAGATAGAATCTTTACAATTCCCTACTCTGCATGCATAGTAGAAATATTTAAGCAAGTACAGTGGAAAAAAAATTAGTATTACCATGTATTGTCTCAGAAACTTATTGTTTTTTTGACGCCGTCGTGCTGTTCATACAATTCCCTACTCTGCATGCATAGAAGAAATATTTAAGCAAGTACAGTGGAAAAAAATTAGTATTACCATGTATTGTCTCAGCAACTTATTGTTTTTCTGACACAGCCGTGCTGTTCAGATGACGTCAAGGAAATCGCGAAATACAATTGAAAGTTTAAAGAGGCCCTGCAGCACATTTTGATCTAAACAATGAATAACTTCTATGAAGGAGTTTATTGCCTCGCAAATCGACTGCCGCAAAATATTTAGAACCCATCAAGTAGAAGCGGATCGAAAAATTTGTCGCACCCTGTAATGTCTTTCTTTCTTCCCTCATCCCGATGAGCGCTCTAAGCAGGGAGGGATGGCTGCACGGGGGAAGCAAGTCAATCATGACCTTAAGCATTTTTGCTTTTGAGTGCACGGCTAACCTTCAGTAAGAGTGCAAGCACGTGGTGGCCACGGCAAGTATGCACCTTACAGTGCTTCAATCAACCGATGGTTGTGAATTTGCATATGGCATGTAGAAACAAAAAGGAACAATTTCTAGCTAGCTTTGAGAACATTGTAAATTCCAAGCTGCCATGCTGCGCTGTAATGTTTGGCTCGCGTGTTCTTAGGAGCCTCAAGTGCAGGTTGTCAGCGTTTTTGGACCATCCTGTGAAAGTGCTTGAATCATCATTATCAGCCTGGCTACGCCCACTGCAGGGCAAAGGCCTCTCCCATGATTCGCAGTTCAACCCGGTCCCACACTTTCCGTCACCACGTTATACCTGCGAAATTTTTCATCTGATCGGCCCACTTAACTTTCTGTCTCTCCTTCGTGCATTTGCCTTCTCTGGGAATCCAGTCAGTAACCCTTAATGATCAGTGGTTATCCTGCCTACGTGCTAGGTGCCCGGCTTATGTCCATTTCTTCTTCTTGATTTCAGCTATGATATCCTTAACCCAGTTTCGTTCCCTGAACCACTCTGCGTTATTCTTGTCTCTTAAGGTTACACCTATCACTTTCCTTTTCGTCACTCGCTGCGTCGTCCTCAATTTAAGCTGAACCCTCCCAGTAACCTCAAGGTTTCTGCTCCCTAGGTAAGTACTCGCAAAATTCAGCTGTTATATACCTTTTTGTTGAGAATTAGTGGCAGATTACCATTCATCATTTGAGAATGCTTGCTGAATGTGATCCACCCCATCCTTATTCTTCCAGTTATTTCACTCTCATGGTTTGGCTCCGTGGTTGCTACCTGTCTTAAGTAGACATATTTCTTCACAACTTCGACTGTCTCTCCACCTATCGCAAAGTGCTGCTTTCCACTTAGATTGTTGCGCATTATTTTAGTTTTGTGCATACTTATTTTCAGACCTACTTTCCTGCTTTCCGTGTCCAGTTCTGTAATCTTGTGATTCGTCCCCTGAGTTACTCATCAAGGGAATGTCATCAGCAAATTGCAGGTTACTAAGATACTCTCCATTACCTCTTATTAATAACTATTCCCAATCTAGGCTGTTGAAAACTTCCTGTAAACATGCAGTGAATAGCATTGGAGAGATTGTGTCTCCCTGCCTTACACGCTTTTTTATTGGGATTCCGTCACTTTCTTAATAGAAAAGTGTCGTGGCTGTGGATCCACTGTGAAGTCTTCCAGTATGTTTATATAGGGTTCTTTGATGCCCTGATTTCGTGGTGCCTGCGTTGCTGCTGATGTCTCGACTAAGTCAAACGGCTTCTCGTAATCTATAAAGGCTATGTATAATGGTGTTTGGCTGTATTTCGCGCCTTTATCTATTACATCATTGATAGTGTGAATATGGTCTCTTGTGGAGTAGCCTGTACTAAATCTTGCTTGGTCTTTTGGTTGACTGAACTCTAATGTCGCCTTAATTCTATTAGCTATTATTCTTGCAAATAGTTTGTAGAAAACGTACATTAAGTTGATCGACCTGTAATTTTTCAAGTCCTTAGCATCTCCTTTCTCATTGATTAAGATGATGTTGCCGTTTTTCCAAGTTCCTGGTACTCTCCTCGTCAAGAGACACTTCGTATTGTTACGGTGCATCATCGACAGGAGCAAGCGTGGCACTTAGCGAAGATGAAGAAGACGCCTGTGCGTTAGGCGCTTGCACCAGAGGCAACTCAGACATCTTGTTCGGCTGCCGACTCTCGGTGGACGCTGTCCTGTAAGCCAAGACCTCGCTCCGTCACATTTGGTGGAAGTGCTGGGCAACCGCCTCGCAACGGAACTTCGCAGCGGCCGACGTTTGAAGGGTCATTCCACAACGATGACGGAGAGTACGGCGTCTGCATCTGCTCCTGGTGTTCCTGCGGCCGGAGATGATGCGGTAACTACATCTCCTTCTGTGACCACAACCTTTGTGCTGGAACCCCCGCGGGATCCTGGCACGTTCAGCGGTTCCGGCGATCCAGATGAAGTTGACGTTGAAGATTGGCTGGCAGAGTACGAACGTGTGAGTACTCGATACCGATGGGGCCCGACTCTTATGCTGGCAAACCTGTTATTCTATCTTAGGGGAACCGCCAAATCGTGGTATGAGAACCATGAAACAGAACTTGTGAGTTGGGCAGTGTGCAGGGAGAAAATGCTAGACCTGTTCGGAAAGCCGATTGGAAGAAAAATGGCCGCGAACAAAATGCTCGCGTCTCGGGCGCAGACCTCGACCGAGTCTTACGTCTCCTATATAGAAGATGTGTTGTCGTTGTGTCGCAAAGCCAATGCCGATATGCTGGAGGCTGACAAGGTCGGGCATATTCTTAAGGGGATTGCGGATGACGCATTCAACCTCCTCATCTGCAAAAATTTTTCTACAGTGGACGCCATTATAAAAGAATGTCGGCGCTTTGAGCAAGCGAAGAGCCGGCGGATTAACAGCGTGTTCACCCGCCTTCAGAATACGGCTGCAACATCATCTTGCGAAGACCGTGCAAGACCACAGCCACCACCTCTAGATTCATCGGATCAGGTGACCCGAATCGTACGGCGCGAACTTGAAGCCATTGCCTCTGCTCCGGCTCACACCGCTGCAAGTGACACCACCCCACTCACTGCTAACATGGTTCAAGACATCATCCGCCAAGAACTCGCCAGCATAGGTATTCCCTCGGTGTGCGCTTTGCCCAGCCCGCAGCGAGCTTCATGGCGTCCACCCTCGTCCTATCGCGAGCAGCAGTTCACGGCCCGATCTCGCGACCCTGCGGCGTGGAGAACCGTCGACAATCGACCAATTTGTTTTCATTGCCACCGTATCGGTCATGTCGTCCGTTACTGCAATTACCGCTGGTCCTCGCCACCTCGGACTTCATCTCAACCTCACTACCAACAGGACAGCACCCGCTTCGCGTCTGCCGTGCAGCCTTCTCCGCAAAACAACTACAGAAGGTTCACAGCCGATCTCCGTCACCGCATGGTCATCAGTCGCGTTCGCCTCCAGGACGTCGCCAGTCGTCTCGCTCACCGCAGACTCGCAGGCCGTCATCTCCATTCAACCCCGCTCCTGCCTACCCGGAAAACTAAACGGTGCAGCGCCCGGAGGTGACGCTGCATCTTCGACTCCCTCCACAAATCCTCTCTTGACGCTTCCGACGAGACAAAATTTGTTAGACGTTGCCGTTGACGGTGTGCCTATTTCTGCCCTTATAGATACTGGAGCGCACATTTCTGTAATGAGTGCGAACCTTCGCCGACGCCTACATAAAGTGCTCACGCCTGCCGCTTCCCACAAACTTCGTGTCGCTGATGGGAGGACCCCTGATGTTCAAGGGATGTGCACGGCCCGTGTGTCCATTGCTGGTCATCCTACATTAGTTCAGTTTGCCGTCATTGAAATGTGTCCTCACGACCTAATACTTGGTTTGGACTTCCTGTCACGTCATTCTGCGCTCATTGATTGTGCCACTGGTGCTCTTCAGCTTGAACTGCCGCAGTTTGCCGATTTTCCAGCAGACTATTCTCCCCGTTTACGCTCTCGTCACCACGTTCGCTTGCCTCCGCAAGCTGCTACATATGTCACTTTGTCGTGCTCACGTCATGTGCCCGACGGTGACTACCTCGTCACTCCTATAGTCGACGTACTGATGGCCCGAGACGTCGCCCTTGCTCACACTGTTGTCGCCGTCGCTAATAATACAGTGGTTATACCACTACTCAACGTGAGTCTCTTGACTCAAGTTATTTCGCAAGACATGTCTTTGGCCACCCTATCTCCACTTGACAGCTGCAACGTTACTGGTTTGGACACCGATACTACATCCCCCTGTCTTGGCCGCAATTACACTCTGCCTGCAGATGACATTAACAAGATGATTGCTCCCGACCTCACTGCAGTGCAAGCTGCCAGCCTCCGTAGTCTGCTAACATCATATAGAGACGTTTTCGACTTTGACCACCGCCCTCTCAGCCAAACAACTGCAGTGACTCACCGGATCAACACTGGTAATGCCAGTCCTATACGGCGGCGTCCATATCGCGTATCTCACAAGGAACGCCAAGTAATTCAAAATGAAGTGGATAAAATGATTACTGAAGACGTAATAGAGCCCTCATCCAGCCCCTGGGCCTCCCCAGTCGTGCTCGTTCAGAAGAAAGATGGCAGCTGGCGCTTTTGCGTGGACTATCGCCATTTAAACAAAGTGACCCACAAAGATGTCTACCCTTTGCCTCGGATTGATGACGCCCTCGATTGCCTCCATGGTGCCCAATACTTTTCGTCTATCGACCTTCGATCCGGCTATTGGCAATTTCCGTCGACCCCATGGATCGTGAAAAAACCGCTTTCGTTACG